CGAACTAGCCTTCTATCCACTCTGGATCGGTTGATTTGCTCCAGATTCGTTTTAAGAGATGAAACCACTCTTTTTTTTTGATGAAAAATTCAAAATACCAGACCAACTGTGTCTATTTTAACGTCACGAGCTCCTAACTGGAAGACAATTGCATGGCGCAAACCAAAGGAGTTTCGTAACATGAGAAACTTATTCTCTTCTTATTACGCGTCCCAAAAAAGCCAATCCTCCATAATGGGATAAGTAAGTTTTGATTAGAGATCCACTTCTTTTTTTTTTTTCTATAAACTAGCAATCCGAGATTCCTTCGACATGCGAAAAAATCGTGACACAACTCTTCAAATTAACCCCGTTTCATGAACAGCCGATATTGAGATCCGGTTTCCAATGGTCGTTTGCAACAGGATTGATCCAATCGAGAAAAAAAGAAGCGAGACATTATTCAGTAATTACTGAAGCGCTCATATAATGGAGGAAACCGTGTCTTCTACACTTCGAAATGTGGTCATGTATTCTAAAAGGGTCAACCACTGCGTTGAGGACATTTGGGATGAGCAACGATTCCCGCCCATGTCTTCTTTGGAACTCTCATCCTAAAATTCTCAAGTCAGCCGTTCATAATCGTATCTGAAACTTATCGTTAGCTACCATCTCTAAAGAAGACCGTTGAACGAGGGGAGGGAAAGAATAAACATGGCTGGGAGGTGAGGGACAAAAAATTACTCAGACCTGAGTGAGTGTAGGGCCAAAACTCTGAAAACCTTCCCAATTTCGAATGAAATTTCTCTTCTATAAATGACGAAAACACAACGCAATGCTACGAAACGGAAGATATGGTCCCTCCTTGAAAAGGACTCATGGACGATTGACGAGGACTCCACCACTGAAAAGTGCTAGGAAAAGCTGACAACTACAAACATATCATAATATAGATGCGATCCTATCAATTTCTTGCCCGTTTTGAAGCAGCGAGTCCACGGCGAGAATCTTACATAAAAACCGTCCAACGATTAGGGAGCCCTGAACTCAGTAAGCCAATTTATTCCTTTTTAAGTTCATGCCGATAGGCCTAGTACAGAGAAAATACACCTGCAACATGCTAGTAGTAATGATTGGTGCGGAACGAATTTGTTGCCGTAATTATGGAGCGAACACTCTTTGACAACTAAGCGAACGCAAGATTTCTCAACCATTTACACAGACGACCAAGGGAAGGCTGACTGTCATGAACAATAGTTTCGGATGATAAATCACAATTTTCGTTTTCAATCCAGACATACCCTCCCATTCAAAAAGCGAGAATGTGTCGCCCCCCTCCTCCCCCCGCCCCCTCCCCCCCCCCCCTCCCCTTGTGCCAGTCCATTACATCCCAAAGTGACGGCGGCTCAAGTAAATCTGGGGGTATTCAATCCTTCCCCCAGGGGTTGGGGGACGGAAATCCCTTTAAATTTATTTGTTTAGAACGATGTAGTTTCTTCATTTTCAACGCATGATTACATTGACATACATAAATACATTAAACGTAGGCCCTTTATCAGGACAACCCCATTCGGAAATTTTAAAGGGATTTCGCGTCCCCCAACCCCTGGGGGAAGGATTACAATACCGCCCCCATGGTTAGCAGTGGTTCATAGTGATAGCTGATAGTTGGAAAATGATAGCAGTAATTAGTGACAACAGAAAGAATACGGCTGCAGCAGGTTAATCAATTCATTGGCGAAAAACATTTACATTTGGTGACGGACGTAGCCACTTGTGGTGTGGTCTGCACCCGGCATGCTTTTCTCGCTTTTTGAAAGGGAGAGTATATTCCATTGATAACCACCATCATTGATATTTACTTACTTTACCATAATCTGTGCAACAACGAATATCCAATGGGAAAAAGTCAAGTGCAAATAATGATCCACTTACATGTCGAATACTTCGGAAAGCCATCGCTATCGTGTTTTTTTTTTTTTTTTTTTTCTGAAACCGGAAGAACGTATATCGCGGTTTATCCCGAGGAATTTTACTGGCTAGTTTGCTTGCTGGCAATGTCTCCTCCGTTGCTTCCAATTTTATAGCTTCATTCAAAGTGTCAACCTATAACAAGTATGCGCTAATAGTCTAGTGTACACAGAAAGGATCATCCAAAGGCTACATAAAATGGAGTTTCGGTGATCTTACAAACTACAAAATCAATTCGCGTCGAAGACTGCGCCGGCGCAATTTCACAATTTTGAGCTTTCATGAAGCCTACAGGGGAATAGATAGAATCAGAAGAATGGAAACAACCTAGCATCCTAAACAACGCGTGCATTACGAAGACAAACCAATACGTCTCTCATCTGATGTGTTCGCACTTCTTTCGCATCTTTCATTATCCAGGCTATAATTTGCGATCTATTGTGGTTTGGCCAATTGTCTGAACCCCTACAGCTTGCTCATGTTGTTAAAGCAATTGTAAAGAAATGGAAGACAAAAAAAAAAAACAAAAAAGTATAAACAGAAAGCACCGGTGCAACAAAAAGCGAGCACTGATCATGAGGTTTGTATGGCCGTCGAACATACAGGGTGGCTACTAAATATTGGCGCATGGTTAATTGACCATATTTCCAAAAAGAGAATCTATTAAATCTTCAGAGGTTTATCTTTATATACAGTAGAACATAACAATTCATTACTAGAGAAGATGCTCGGAAAGAAGTCCTCCGGCGGCGATACAGGCTTCAAGTCTCTTCTCAACTGACATCACCGTGGGCCGCAAGCAGTTTTCGTCGAGTTACTTCAACGCTTCCTCCTAGGAAGCCTTCAGGAAGTCCAAACTTCGATGTTGCCTAGAAGGCATCTTCTGCTGCAGGAAGCCCCACACCGCAAAATCCATTGGGTACAATCGGGTGAGTTAGATGGCCTAACATCTGGTGACCAGTAACCTGGAAAATGGCGGTCACAGAACACCAGCGTAGATTTTGCGGCATGGGGAGGAGCCTAGTCTTGCTGAAGAAGGCACTGACATTTGCTGGAGGTCGAAACAGTCCATGGAACGAGCACATCACGTAAAATTGTTTCCTGGTAGATCTGGGCGTTAATTTTGACGGATTTGTCCACAAAGACAAGCGGTGTGTCGGAAGTAATTCCTGCTTAAATCATGACAGATTTTAGAAATCGGCTCCTTGTGTGCGCACGACGTCGGGCAGGATGCCTGCTAGCCGGATCCAACAATTGCCTGTCCTTTTGAGAATTGTGCGCCAATTCCAGTGTGATGATCTTCTCGCGTCACGTTGACGTCACTTACTTGCGGCCCACGGTGATGTCAGTTGAGAAGAGACTTGAAGCCTGTATCACTGCCGAGGGAGGCCATTTCGAGCACCTTCTTCAGTGATGCATGGATATGTTTTACTGTATATAAAAATAAACTTCTGAATATGTAATAGTTTCTCTTTGCAAAAATATGGTCAATAAACCATGCGCCAATATTTAGTAGCCACCCTGTATGCAAGCGCCTCAAGTTCGTAATAAACCCCCTCGTTCACGTAATAAAATTGAATTGCCTTGTCCAATCTTCAAAACTATAGTTATTTAAAAATGGAATAGGAATATTAATAAAACCACAAAAAAAGAACGAACCGATAACTGAACAAGAGCTAATCGACCCTGTGCAAGCTTCCGCACCGCATCCTCAGCATTTCGATCTAATGGAAAAGCAACACCTTTCATATGCTGTGGTCCGGCGTGAGCAACTGCAGCACGTTCTTGGTGAGCGTTGTGAAGTTCTAAAGTAATGAGTACGAAATTTTGAAGAAACCTCCCATATCTGAGTCTTACGAAATTCAAACATAAGCTTGAATCTGCCGACGTATCTCAAGCTTACCTCGTTCCACTTCACTCATTGGGCCCAATTCAGCCTTCGTCTTCAGCCAGTTTTCAAAAGATTCCAAGGAAAGATCCTGAAATGAATCGCAATGTCGTTTCATCCAGCTTCAAGCCTAATATAGAAACAAAACTTAGTTGTTTCTAGAAGGATTTCAAACGAACCTTTCTATCTGTGACGTGTTTCTCATGTTCAACATAGCAAGGTCCAAATTCACTCTTAAATGTGGCACGAGTAGCAGCTAGTAACATTTTTTCTTTGATAGGTGCACGATCATCGGCAAATCTGAAGAAACAGCTGTGATATATTAAGTTTGAAGCGTTAAAGCGCTGCATATAATTTCTGCGCTCAACTTGTCCATTTATAATTTCATAACTTGCAAAAAAAAAAGTGAAAACTCACGTTATTAGAATCCATTCGGTTATAGTATTGAGCCTGAATAAAATAAAGCACGGTTCGAAAGCATCGACACATTCAGGAAGCGTGGCTCGCCAATCATCTCTCCAGTTACCCGTACCAGCGTACTCGTAATTAGGCGTGAGCTCCTCTGAAATGTTATGCCTTTTAAACATTATTCAAATCTTTGTTTCTAACAAGGGAGATTCGAGATCCATGTGGAGTAGCAAATACTGAATCGACAGCAGGGCTTCCAGAACGTATAACTCAACCTCTTCTTGAAATTTGCGATGAGGATCTATTGGCAGAGTTGAATGGCCGTTGATCTTCTCTGCGGCGCTTAAGACAGGACCAGCAGCCATGCGCAAGTTTGCCTATAAGGGACAACCCGGAAAGCCGGTTAGTTCGTATGGCGTAGGTTTGGTGGAAATTCGGAGGCGGCCTTTTTCTTTGAGATGTTTCTCCCTTGGTTTTTACAAATGGTCATGAGAAATTCGTTCATATTCATAATATACGGTCATTCTGTAACTTTCGATGTCAACAGCAAAATAGAATTTCGGCACTTTTGAGCGATATTTGATCTAACTTGCTCGAGACCAGCGGATGGAGCGCCAGCGTCACAAATTGCCGTGCCAAACGTGTTTGCTGCTCGTGCTTGGCGGGTCGAGCTACTCCTCAGGACATATTTGTAGCCATATATGACCTAAAGTGGTAAGGAAAAAGAGGGGGAGCCGTGGGTGCGCGATACGGTCCCTATAGCTCTAAAAGGATAGATCACTGAATATCCACTAAAAAGTTATAACTGAGGCTAGGTTTAGCCTGGAGTACTGGGAAAGTGTATCACTCATTTCCTGCACAAGACCTTATTTGCACTCCATAAACGATCCAATAAAAGGTGATGAAAACTAGAAGCTGAAATGTTTGGAAGAAATTGGGCGTTATCAAAATATTCTCAACTCATCAAAAATTTAACAACGATGGAATGGTGATGATAAAAAACTTCCCAATGACAACAAGAAAAGCGCAAGAAACGCCCAAATAAACATGATCCTTCGATTCCTAAAATCGAGGTCTTAACCGTAAGACCACTAAATTAGTGTTTGCCTGGCTGTTGTAATTGACTGCAACCAACCAAAACTGTATTAAAACACATGAAGAAGATCTTTCATAACTTCACCTAAATAACTGCAGCACGAAAATGGAAGATGAGTCCAGAATCAGCAGCCATTACCTAGCGCTACTTATCTTACTACAAATTGCCTCCTCGACGTGGGATCGTTCCCCTGCTGCAATGAGACCTAGCATCTCCTTAAAAATCGGCGTTCGCAGCTGTTCTTCATATTAAGGGCTGTCAATCAGCCGGCTCCCCTCCTATTAATACAATTTATTTGATTACGGCCTCACTGGCACCAACAAAATCATAGCAGTTATTTAGAAGCATATAAAACTATTGCCACGGAATATGCTCCGAATGACCTTATTCCTTGTTATTGATGGTGGTAGGACAGAGCAAGTAGTTTTCGTAAAGTTGTTCCGAAAGGGGAAGACTTCCAAGGGCCCAGCACCCTTGAGAATAAACCAATCAGTCGGAATCTTGCACAACACATTCCACCGCATTAGGCCCGAAATCTCAGTCAACAAACAAATCGTTGATACAGAATGACACAGGCGGGTAAGATGAGATTTAAGAAGTGCTTCCATTTGTTATCATTTATAGCGGAGATATTTTTACAGGTAATCGACCCTCACTACATGATGACACGAGAGCTCAGTTCAAAACCGTACTCAAGCTATTTTCAATGCCCCAGACATGTCTGACATCAACATACAGAGCCCTCAGAGCAGAAAGGTTTGTTTAAGAAGGGCTCAGGATCGTTTAAGACTACCACGCTGGTCATAAACGCTGTAGTGGACTCTCACAATAGTGATGACAGCTCATTTTGGGATTTGGGTTGAACGTCTAGCGCGCTCGAGATTATCCATCGAAGTGTTTACCCGCAAATTCCATCGATCCCACTCCAAAATGTAAACGAAGATATCTTGTTTGAGAACAGAGAGTCAGGACAGCAAGCTCATTTTCGTCGTCACATTTGTCTCTCAACAAATCAATTATCGACTGAATCCATAAGTGCGCCAGACGATGCCAAATGAGTGAGACAACTGACCGGAGCTTCTTGAGGCTGAGCAGGTTTCATCTGCCAGCAACATACTTTAAGGCAGTAATACCAAATTACACCTTTCAAAAGCTTCTTCCACTCCATCGCTTCAACAGAACCTTTGAGCTTTCCGTACTAGTGGAAGTGTCTATTCCTATATCTCTTTCCTTTCTAGTGTGTTCCCAGACCTTCGATCCTGACATCTCTGACATTCGAGCCTCCACTCACCGACCGAGTAAAGTTCTGTCGATAAGAGCCGGATTCTATTCCACACATCCGAACTCTATTCCAGTGACATGATTTATTGCTTTCTTCCGCCTACAAATGCTTACTCCACTTTCTAAGTATTCTCTGCCTTGATCAAATCTCCACAAGGTGACGCATTAGTGGATCTAAATGGATTGAGGGTGGATTTAAAGAATGTTTCACGGGATGCAATCTCCTGCACAAGTGGAGCGAGAAACCCCTACTAACTTTAACGAGAAACCAGTACGCATCGGCATAGTTCGAATCAAAAAGGCCTACCCTTCTGTCGCCTTCTCACCGCAACAATCATGAAATGCACTGACAGATAACATACGTGCGCTGTAAGCATCAATCGTGGTACCTTGCACGATTATGACTCACGTGATATGGCGATAGCAATAATTGAGGGGGCGGATTAAATTATCAACCACACCGCCAAATCTCCCACATGTTTACCCAGAGGAAACCAGATCTCTTTGAAGTATGAAATCAACTCTTCCTACCGGTCACACTAAAGTCACAGTGTAAAGTGTCTCACATTATTCCCTTCTCGAGATCCCTCGTGCAAGGAGACGGCCGTATTGCTTCACTCAAAGAACAGCAAGTGCTACTCAAACAGTTACAGTAAAGAGTAGAGTCTAGTGTCGGTGCAAAGGAAAAGCCGCGTAAGAAGTGGTACGAATGAGCTGTCACGTACCAGTAATTCGCGAATCAACCACCCATTCATCTTGATCTGCGTACAAGGAGGACAAAGGACGAAGCTTCGGAAAAATGCTTCTCCAAAAAAGTTCTGCCTCGGACCAAGACTCCTCATCGTCAACGTAAAAATATAAACTCGAAAATTTCATCGAATCTGGACTCACCGCTCCTCACGACGACTTTGATGAGACGCAGTTTAGCTTGTTTGCCAAGATTGAACGCATGCCGCAGTGCGTCATTAGCTGAAATAGGACACACATAAAAAAGAAGAAGGGAATAAAACGGAATTCCAATCATCAATTCCGGAAGTTTGAGAGAAGGAGGTAGTTTATGAAAAGATTTCTAAAGCAATCTGCAGCCGTCAACCACTCTCAAAGGCTAAACTGTCTGAGGGCAACGTAGCGCGGTCAACCAACCACCCAGGGGGTTACAGTGAAAGAATGCAACGCCTTCTAGATTTTTTTCAGCTTACAACTAGACAACTTTCTCTAATAATCCTAGGAATGAAAAAAAATCAGTGATAGTCGACAAAACTGCCACTAAAAAGTCCAGTCATCATCGAGTAATACACCCTTTTTCATCTTTCAAACAATGTTACAGCACTCGCTAAGGCTTGTGTCAGAGTCCGCGATCCGTTGCAGGTTTCGCTGCATTTTCGGTTTTGATTCGCGCGACGGGTCACGGAAATCACAAGTGCCCGATCAATACTGCAAGGTGTTCTCCAATCCTGCCGCCACTTCTGCTTGATAGTGATGGCTGAATGACGACTGCTCATGATTCCACTTGTTTCATATTCAGTGTTTCAAATGTTCACACACTTGCAATTTTTGCGATCCGTCGCGTGAATCGCGCAAATCGCGAAATCGCGAAATCGCGCAAATCGCGCAAATCGCGAAATCAGCGAATCAGCGCATCGCGGACTCTGACACCAGCTAAGAGCGAGCAGGCGAAAGCCATAGGTAGATGTTTGCTCAGCCAGTACCTCAATAGAATGTAATGTTTGAGGTCAAAAAAACCTCTACACAACGAGAGAATGCCGGCCTAGGATTTGAGTATCAATAAAACAGACAGCTGACTTGTTCTATCCACATTCAGCAATGCCATGAGATGATGAGAACACTTACCAGGAAAGGCATTCAACTTCCCATGGAACTTTGAGATGAGACCCAGATATATCGATAGAGCTTCAAACGCTGATTACAAATATGGAAACTAAAACTGCAAAATGAACCTGCCAAGGAAGTTGTGAGCAGTCAAAGTTGGCTGGAAGTAAAGCATTACACTAGCCTCCGGGCTTTCAAAGTCGCCGTGGAGTAGTGGTAGTGCTCTCGGAATTTGCGCTCCGACGGGAGGAGAGCTTATGACCTCCAGGGTGAATAGCGAGGGCACCACCACTGCTCCGCGGGCTCTGAAAGCCCGGAGGCTAGTGTAATGCTTTACTTCCAGCCAACTTTGACTGCTCACAACTTCCTTGGCAGGTTCATTTTGCAGTTTTAGTTTCCATATTTGTAATCAGCGTTTGAAGCTCTATCGATATATCTGGGTCTCATCTCAAAGTTCCATGGGAAGTTGAATGCCTTTCCTGGTAAGTCGGCATGCCAATACTTTTCAATTTCCTATTTTAAAAACTTGCCTCGCTTGGGAGGATTACCGAGGCGTTCGAGGGGAAGTACCAGATTATTCAAAACGTCGCTGAAATTGGCGAAAAACATCGTTCGCGCAGCATGTTTCAAGGCTGTAGGCGCTAGGGACGAATCACGCCCGTGTTAAATAACGATATTGGCCCAGATCGGTCCATGACACAATTGATTTCTACTATTGCAGAGAACAATTCAAACACGAGAACCACCAGCGCGTCATGCCGAATAAATGGAAACTTGATTGGAAGTCCCATCGCATTTTTCCGCATCATTGCTCCGTTTTCCTACTGCCTTCATTTGGACTTTTCGCTTGCAAGAGAAGGATTTGTGGACCCTCTCAATGAGCGCAGCGCAACAGCGGTCACGCAGCAGCCGATATTCTCAAGCGGCTCCATCGTTGGTTTCAAGTGAACCCGGACACGCTCGAACAAAGAAATGAGGTCAAACAAAACATAGATTTAACGATGCAGCTCTGTTCCTATGCAAATTCTGCAAAAAATTCTTTCCAAAAACCTGCAGCGAGATGAACCGAGCCTCGAAAGGAAAGCGATTCCGACGGTTCGCCACTGCACTTCATAAAAGTAACCCCCATGTTATTGCTGAAACCTTCCTCAACGAGCACTGTGAATTCGAAAGACATATGTGTTGACAAAAACAAAAAAGGCCAAAATAAAATTTTTAAAGCGAGCGATAATACCCATATGTTGAGTGATGTCAATGGAATCGTCTTTTCGAGCATGTGAAACATTCATTTTCATGCCATTCAAACCAACGTTCAGCATTTCGAACATTCATTTCATGGCCATTTCCAACCAACAGTTCAGATTTTCCCGGAACTTTCGAAAAAAAAAGCCACATATTGAACTGGTCAAATATGAAACTGCTTCCATAGAGTGAGCGAGGCCACCTCTGAATCGCCAGAACAAAAAACCAGGTTTTTGGTGACTCGTGCAAATAAGCAGGTTCTACTAGGCGATTATACACATGAATGTGGGAAGAAAAAAATTGGAGACTCTGAGTGCATGTACAGTTCTAGTTCCAAACTCTTCTCCTAGTGACTGCCGTAACACAAAGAAAGGCCATTCATCGCACTGCACTCACAATTTCGGAGGGAAGTCGAAGGCATGGCTCCCAGCAAAAGTCTTGGTCTTACCGACCATCTTGTACGTCGTACATTCTTTATTTATATTCGTATTAGTAATGCCGAAAACTACTGCACGACAACACATCTTCACCATCACATGGAGTTTGAGCGTGGCCTACCAGCGTATTGCATAGAAAACAAAAGGACCTTTAATAAGAAAGATTGATAGGTTGCGCTCAAAATATTGCGAAAACAACCAATTAAATGGTCAGTAAAAACATCGCACGAGCATGTTTCGTTTTATCTTCAGTCATCAAATATAGCTGCACAATCTCCATGCTACCTACGCAGTTTAGCTGGTGCTAAATTTATTACAGATGGTTTGTTTTCTGCAAGCTGCCCACAGACATTCTTCGAGAATGAGTAGGTGGCTACATTTTACGGGGAAGAAGGCTTCGGCTATTTTTAATTTGCTCATTCTCCGGAGAAAAATAATACCTAATGTCATGCCGGTAACCTAATACGAGGGCGTGACTGTGCAAAAGTGAATATCGGGATGAGGCCACGTCACATTCTTAGTTTCGAATCCTCGCTCTCGCAGGGGAGATAGTATGGGTGGACTTTCCATTTCCCTGTTGGATGAGATTGTTCAGAATTGACGAAGTTATAGACATTTACGAAAACCAAAATTTTCTGCTGTTCTTGTCGGAGAATACCCCCAAAAACTCGGCACTGTGCCCGGGAAAAATCATGTGTAAAGTCATGTATAATTTCAGGTAGGATGAGAGGCTAGGAATAGAGAGAAAGAGAAGAGATGTGAAAGACCAGCCGGGTGGTCGTAGCCACTTAGCCGAATCCTTTCAACACATGGGCTCGCCCTGATTGATACTGCCTCAACTATCTGATGATAATTTTCAAGAAACGCGTCCCTCTTTCAGTCAGCAATAAGCACTCGACAAGTATGTTCATCAAAAATGCACATCACAACATTAGGAAAACTAGGAGTTTACAACGTAGTAGCCTTAATAAACGGAACGCCGAAATTCAAGAACAGTTAGACGTGCCTCGTTGGGTGAGACAAATATTTGAAGAATAAAGTCTAAGGCCATGAAAATTTGAGATTTCAAATTCGATGAATAAGAACACCAAAGGCAGTCGACTATGAGTGTGGCAGAATACTATGAGAATCGCTTAGAAACCTCGAGAACCATGCTCTACCACTTAACCTCAACGACCGCTATTTCCACCTTTTCGGAACTTGGAAATACCAGCTCAAAAAATTCTACCAAGCGAGAAATTATGAGCGCTTATGTGCTTAAGAGGCTTACGTACCCTTCTCGAAGAAGACTGCTACGAGTAGCCTTCTAGAAGGTGAATGTCTTCACGAAGAACAAATGAGGAATTGAGAATAAGGATCGACCTTTATTGAAATGATTCTAATAGGAACTAGAATTGAGAATAAGGATTGGCCCTTATTGAAATGATTCCAATAGGAACTACTCAGTACTTCCAAAAGTCTACCAAAACACAATCAAGATAAATCAAAGAACTAATGCTATAGAACCATCATTTATAACATCGTGACTATCACACATTAGAGATGGAACGCGACCACCTGCTATAAGCTTTTTGGGTTTCAAACGGACATGTTCTAACGACCAAACGTGGCGCCGCATTCATTTAATGAGTAGGCTATATGTCTAGAAATCAATCAGACGAGTCCAGACGTTACATTTGAGCTGTCAATTGCGCTAATAACAATAAGCAATCGACTTGACAGTAGTCCAGTCTCAAAAACGCTTGAAAATTATACCCGAAAAAGCACTTACGAAAATCAAGGCGATTCA